AGTTCTTCCGCCTGCCCCCGGCCATTTTTATTGCTCCACTATGACGTAGTGTCGGCCATCATTCTTTTCTAATTGTTGCAGTTGTCGGCCATCATTCTTTTTCAATTGTTGTCGCATTGTTACTGATGTCGGCCATTATGTCTTTTTAATAGACATATAGTAATCAATGGTTAAAATTTAAAGGAATTGTTAGTAAATAGTTATGCAACACATCGTACACTTAGCATAAGAAATTGCTGATATTAATTTTCATTTACGTAATACTAATTTTTCCTGTGCTGACAGCACTCATAATATTTTTGAAATATAATATTAATTAAATTTGGGCCTTATTTATTTAAAAAAAGTACTGTACTAATACGTCCTCTACGGGATTAATTGAAACTACAACGAGTAGCTACTCGTCAGAGCTACAGCTAGCTAGCTGTTGGACCATTGATTAGAAATAGGTTGAGGCTTGTTTCGTGAGATAGCGCCACAATACTAAATGTACTTATTTAAATTTGAAAGTTTGAAAAGTTATTTTAGTAAGTCGGATGTTTAAAAGACTTTTTTAATTGCCGTATTACTTAAAAACAGTTAATTATTAAAGGAACAATAAGGCAAGATTTAAAGTAAGTATTTGTAAGAGTATTATATTATAAGAGAAAGGTTTGTTGTTTTTCACTCGAAAGCATTTATTATGTTGGAGTTACTCATTTGCATGTTTGGTTTTCTTTTCTTTTTACTGAAGAAGCTTTGAAACGTGACTAGAATTTGTGTGATCGTTTAACTTATTTACATTATTCGAGAGCTCGGATAATGCAAAAGAGATGAATTGGAAGAAAACAAACGTTTCTATGTATTCCAATTTGTCCTTTCGTTTATACATATTATAGGTACTACCACCGTACTAAAGCTCATTACAATTCAAATTTAATTCAGTTCGTGTAACATTAATTATCGGAATGTATGCAAGTTACGTTGTCGTTTAAAACACCGCGCGACTCTTTCATTAAATACTCATTTCCGTGGGTGACTACATTTGACGTTAAATCAAGTTTTAATCAGTGCCGATATTAAAATCGGTGTTATGCATATTCTGCCATTTTCAATCTCAATTAGCGGATTTTAATTAGAACAAAAAAAAATCGATCAGGTACATTACACTCGCTTGTTCCCATCAGCTTTCGTCGTTAATAATGAAGAGTGATGATGACCTGCATACTTCTTAAATACTATTTAAAAAAATGTAAGTACGAAAACAAAAAGGTAACTTTAGTGCTTTTTACTAAAAGTTTGCGAGATGTTGTTTTTATCATTAGTTAGACGCATTTTAGTTTACGTGCTTACAGGTACCCCAAGGGTGCCGTTATTCATTCAGATGTTCTTGTTGAAATTATTATTTATATGTAGAAACAATGTCGAAAGTTTTGCGACAGTGTTCTGTAAGAGTTTTAGAATCTAGAGAAGACAGTAACTAATAAATCACAGTATTACATGCGCCATGAGATTTATAGTGTTGGCGAAGTTTTGGGGACCATAAAGACGTAAAGAGAACTTCCTGTCTGCTGTCTTTTACTTCCGGTTTATTTAAATAATAAGTATTAAACGCTTAGATACTTTAAAATAAACTGAGTGTTGAATTAAAATTTGATTCGAAGTAAAAAAAAACAATTTTGTAACTACGAATACGCATAGTGCGCTTAAAGAATCTTAAGTTAAAATTTAAAAGTTTGGGAAGTCTCTATTATCTATTACGAAAAATACTTGTGAATCGATACTTTGTGGTAGGAATTAAGAAAAGAAATTGTTCGTATCGGATTGCGGAGGTAACTGAGTGCAGGTACAGATACAGGGTGTTTATTAAACATAAGATCGAAGAGGTTAATCTTTGGGTTGTTTCCTTTCGAAGATACAAGGCGATAAATATATTTCGACAATAGCAATATTATTTAAACTTTCTAGCCTGCAGTTATTGTGAAATCACATTTATTTAACAAAAAAATCAAAGACGAAACACCCGGTATATGTACCTATATAGAAAATAACAAATGTTTTGTATTTTGTCGATTTCGAATTATATTTTTGCCGGTGCTTCGTTCTCACGCTTTCGCGCGTCCGTTTCGTTGAATCGAACTGAAATTGTTTTTTTATAAATGTGGTGAACCATGTCTCTAAATCGACTTTTGGTCTATGCTCTCAATAGTTTTTAATACGATTGCTTTACTGTTGAAACCATTCTCACTACTACTGCTGCTACAACGCTTTTATAGAATTATATCGTGGCTGTTAACTAAAGCGGATCATTTTTTTTTGTGAAGTAGTGCTAACAGGTAGGTACGTGTACAAATATAAAATTAAAAGAGTGCGGAACGACCGGTTCCACAGCTCACATGTGGACAAGGTGAAGTAAGAGATTTAAAATGGATTTATTGATCTTGTGTTATTTTATTAGTTATAAGAAAGGATGAATTTAAGAACAAAGGCTTTCACGGCCGGAACCCATAGTAGAATGAAGATTCGGGTTATAGGGCCGTGATCTAAGTGAACTATTGTGTCCAGACGTTTTGTCAGCTACTGCGACTGACATCCTCAGTGGTAGTGCTGCGTTGACAACGTGAACGTAGATTATATCTCGAAGTCTCGGCAGCGACTGGGACCCAGTCTCTACTAAAGATGAATTTCGAATTTCCCTACACCACATCGTATTTTTCAATGGATGATGATGATTTTTTATTCTTACGACGTGCTGTAACCCTTGAAAAATATTCCCATTAACACTTTTTATTACATTATACTATACGTCTTCTCCCTCTCGTCCGGTTCCTGTAAATATAATGTTATTGTGCAATTATCGTTGAGTCTTCCACTTCTAATACATATATGTATGTATAGAATCTACGTAATAAGTTGTCGTCTTAGGACTTGTTTACGTATGTTTTCTGAAAATTTCCGGAAACGTTTTCCCGGATCTCGAGTTAACGTGATTTCCGGTCGGACGAAGTCAGAGGGCGACAACGGCTACGATAACACGTAAACTATGGAAACGTAATCAAGAGGGCCGCTTTCCTTTCGTGGCCTACTTCGTAACGCTATCCCTATATTTTATTCGAGCGAACGGAACACGTTAAACGTTAACTTATCCATAAATGTATGGATTTGATGCATGGTTTGAATCTGAAATTGGTGTCGAAAAAGGGTAAATTACGTCATTATCATCATCACAATCATCGTCATCAGAAGACCTTTAGTACGAAGGCAGGTTCCATTGCTTTTTAATCTGAGCCAATTTTCTCATTTCACTAAAACGACAATATCCCACATCCCTAACTATATGCCAAGAGTAACCTAATCTAGGTCTACCACCACCCCTATTTACTACGTTCTCGTTCCTGACTAACCCTTCAAAATCTCACCTTTTCCATATTGGTCTCTGTTCTTTTACTTTTTCCAATACTCTCTACAAGAAACTGAAAGTCAGCTGGCAATGTTGAGAACTGGAACGTAACAACAACTCAAAATGCTTTGGCGTCAAATTAGACAGAATCCTGAAGGACAAACAACAGTCTGAGGACACCACGGAATGTATGCAAGTTACGTTGTCGTTTAAAACACCGCGCGACTCTTTCATTAAATACTCATTTCCGTGGGTGACTACATTTGACGTTAAATCAAGTTTTAATCAGTGCCGATATTAAAATCGGTGTTATGCATATTCTGCCATTTTCAATCTCAATTAGCGGATTTTAATTAGAACAAAAAAAAATCGATCAGGTACATTACACTCGCTTGTTCCCATCAGCTTTCGTCGTTAATAATGAAGAGTGATGATGACCTGCATACTTCTTAAATACTATTTAAAAAAATGTAAGTACGAAAACAAAAAGGTAACTTTAGTGCTTTTTACTAAAAGTTTGCGAGATGTTGTTTTTATCATTAGTTAGACGCATTTTAGTTTACGTGCTTACAGGTACCCCAAGGGTGCCGTTATTCATTCAGATGTTCTTGTTGAAATTATTATTTATATGTAG